TGGGGCCTTGGTGCTGGGGATAGGACCGTTAGAGCCGTCTCCGATGGCAATGTAGCTCAGGCAGCTCAGCCCTTTAGATCTCCATGCAGCCAATACGCGCTGCCAATGGCATTTACCAGCCATGGAGACGAGAGACCAAAAATACGGCGGCGGCGCCCGTTGTTGTCGTTGCGCACCATTTAGAGTGAACCCTTGGTGCCAGCCGCGCCCATCAACACCAAGAAACTGGAGCCATTGCTATAGTTGGTCGCTTCATCTTTCCCAAACCTTCGAAACAGAACAAATCTCCATCCACGCTTTTAATAGCGCTCTTTTGGTTTACATTCGTCCTTTTCCGGTTTTCTCGCCCTGGGCAATGGCGGTGCAAGTTGGTTTTCCTTTCATCGTTTGATGGTGGACATGCAAGGCGCTGCTAGCTGCTTCGTCTGACAGTCGGCGGGCTGTGCTTCCACATGCAAATCCTTGTCTTTTAGCTTGTGTCGTTTTCTCTTGAGGAAGGTCGACCAATCTTGAGAAGAGGAGAAGAGACTCCTTCACTTCCACGAGAGTGGCTACTCCTCCTGTAAGCCCACCGCCCATCATCAGAAAACAAGCTTCGATTCGACAGCCACTATCCCGGACCATCCCTCTTCCTGACTCTCCCGGCGCATCGCTGGTTGCCAAGTCTCGGGTCACTGGAGGCGCCGCCATCAACCGCCCAGGGAAACTTGTGACATTGATTATACCATAAGCCGAGCGTCCGCTGAGCTTCTCCCTGCCTGCAGCTGTTCACGTCGAAATGCAGCTGTACCTTGCCGGTGAGCCGCTGGCATGCAGGATCTCAATGCGAGAGATATCCCGTGGTCATGCGTTCCATCTTTTGTTCAATGATGCAAGCTCAGACTCAAGCTCAAGCTCAAGCTCAACTACTCAGCCTTGGAGTATTGGCATGCAGCATGACGGCAGCCAATACTCTGCGACTGCTTATTCTTCGTGCTGCGACTCCTTGGCATCGCAAGGTGCACAGCAAAGAGGTGGCCCGGCGAAGAGGAAGTGAAGGTGAAAGTGTCCAATGCGGAAACTTGCAGATGCGACCTCTTGAGTGGATGCCCCAGACCTGCGCGGGCATCGCGAGAATGGCCCGTCCGCGCGACCCTCGTTTCCGCCCTAGACCGATTACGGCCTCTTAGCATGTCTGCATGTGTTTGAGACTTCGGGAGGCAGCACACAGATATTTGGGTGAGAGAGGATCTTGAGGAGGTAAGAGGGCGAAGGAAGAGATCTGGCACTCGGACACCACTGCCAAGAGATCCAACGGTCTCCGAGTTGACCTCTTTGGTCCTCGCGCGACAAGACTTCATACAACGGGGCCCCGACTCCCTCTCACAAAGCAACAAAGAAGAGAAGAGCATTTCATTTTCATACAGCAAAGTGAGGCATCGACTTCTTGGCATTGGAACCCGACTATAACATGAAGAGAGGCGTTCATTCGTTATCGAGAGATGTCGAGAACGAATAAGTTTCGATTTTCCAGCGGACCTCCCGGGATGCCGTCTTGGTCTTTTGGGCCGAGCGGACTCGCGGACTCTGGAGATTCTCTCTGTCTCCCAGCTCTGTTCTTGAATCCTTCCCCAATGCCGAGCCGGCCGTGATGTTGATCAACCCCCCATGTTTTTCCCGCCCTCCTCTCGGTGCTCCCCACGCTTTCATCTACGCTCGCCGAGCTTTAAGGTGGGCTCTTTCAATGTGGGGAGAGTATGCCAGCGGGCGCTCGACAAGCGCGAGCAGAAAAGCAAGATTTATCGCTAGTAAGGATTGCGAACACAGAGTACACTAATGAAGGACGAGGAGGAGCGGTGATTACATGGCATTTACGGCACCTCCTCTCATTTCGTGCTTGGCTGGGAACGGCCTTGTTTGCTTGCTGCCCCTCTCTCCTCCATCCTCCGAGGTGGGGGGGACAACCTTCGGAGGACTTGTCAGTGGGCAATCGTCATGCCGATGCCATTCATCATCAGGGCTTCATTAAGTTGGTTAGAACTACAAGTCTACACTTGTAGGTGAGCTTTCCTGAACGGTGAACCCCAAACTCTGGTCATGGCTAGCACGGCGGCGGCGCGGGAGATTTCGTCACTGCATGTGCTTAGGGTGTTGACGACAGCACGATAGACGCACTTGTGTCGGGCTTCCCTGGCGTGTCCGTGGTCATGGTAAGGTAAGAACCCCGGCCACGAAAGCGTGGGATGTCAAATGTGAGGTGTTTAACGGAGTAGTTCTCCTCAACTCAGGCCGCATGCGCGTGAGTTGTCGTGGCCCCCTTTTTTCCAGTATCCCCTTCTTTCCAAGTGGCTTCCTCTGACAGGTTTAATCAACGAGCCTGCAGGCTCGCAAAGGGCCATTAGAGATTCGAAGACGCAGTAGACAGGCAGAAAACCCCCGCGTCGAATCCCTGATCTGCTTCCATCCCCTGTCAGATTCCTGTCGGAAGGTCGGTCGGGTTATTCGAAAGAAATACCCCGCATTCTGGGACGAGCGAGGGGGGAGGAGGAACGGAGTGATTGCGACGCCGCACAACTGTCCCATCTCCAAATGTCGACTTTTCTTCACGCGGCAGCGGCGCGTAGCGTTGGAAATTCGTCTCCCGCCCCCATCCCCCTCCATTGCTCTCGCTCGAATCCAAGTGGTCAGCAAGGTGGCATGCAGAGTGCATACATTTGAACAAGGTCGCCAGGGGACAAGAAGAGACACGCAAGACGAGAGATCGACAGGTTCTCGAATCGCGGGGCCAATCAGTCACAAAGTCCCCCTCCTCCTCCTCCTGCCGTCGTTGATCGATCGATTGGGGGATTCAATGATTCTGCCACTTCTGCTAAGCTTATGCACTCGTGTCGTCAAGCTCACTGCTTGACTGCTTCTCCCGCGGGGGCAAGGCAGCAGGCTAGCAAAGCAAAGAAGGCACGAAGGGTAGTACGGAATGTTAGCATGGTGCCATTTCATTAGAGTTGCAATGTAAGCTTCTACAGTAGGAACGACCGGCACTCTGTTTCTCTGCTTTACTCTCGTCTGCTAGTGCAGTATTCCATCAACGTTCCAAGGTTTTGGGTATGTGTTCTTCCCTTCCTGGGTGTCGTCAAACTACTTTTGCTAGTGCGAGGTAACCGCACCTGGGGAACACATAGCTTTTGGTGTGTGAAGAGCTTCCTTGACACATGAAAATGTGACAAGAGCTCTTTGAAGCTCGCCCATGCCCCGTGGGCGGTCAGAGTTCGGAGGGGGAGGGGGGGTTGCAAGCGCCACGCGACGATTTGCGACGATCACCCAACTCTCGGTGCGTGGGAAACCCAAATCCTTGGCAAAGGTTGAAGCCAACCATCTTCAAAAGGAGCTACGCTACTGGACATCTTCAGAACAGGAAGAGCGGTGATTTCCCCCCTCCATCTGCTTTCTCCCCCCCTTCTGCGACAAAACCAAACGCACCAAAGGAGAAAGCTCCGACATACTGGAGACGTGAAGAAGATGGAAGGTCTGCCGGACTAGCGGTAGCGGTTCTCCCCCTTCTAGTATACGCTTCACCACACCACACACCCTCCTTCTTGCTCCTTCACCGCCGGAATGACTGGATTGAACTGGTGGTGGAGAAGGGACTGTTCTCGGGAGACCGCATTGGGAAACTCCAGACCTACTACTCCTAGACGTGATCCCCTTCCTTCTATGGTAGTGGTGGTGGTTATTTGGCAGCCTGGGGAAGGATGAAGGAGTAGGGGCTGAAGCTGGGCCTAAATTCCACACTACTCCTCTCACCATGAGCCAGCCACATTTTCATCTGACAGCGCCGGTCACCGCTCCGACGAGATTTGTTGTTGTGTATTTTGCTTACGAGCTTAGCCAACTCGCGAGCTTGTTAACACGCTAGATTCCTGTCGAGGCACGCTTCTACCGGTACCCTTCTACGTCTGTGTTTGTGGCTTTTTTCTGTTGGCTTTCGTATTCCAAGGGGCTTGGAGGGAGCAATTGACTCTTGTAAGCTCGAGACTTTGGGAAAGTACACACCCTCCAAAGGGAGAGAGGTCAAGACGTCTCAGATCTTTTCCTTTTGGGCTGTGGCAATCCGATGCCGGGAAAGTTTGCCTGCGTTTGTGAGGATTGTGGTGTGGTTGATTTAGATTTCAGGGTCCTTGGAAGTTCGGTTCACTCAACAGAGGCAAGGAGGCACGGAAGAACGGAAGAAGTGAGTGTCACGGCCTCTCGATGCTGGAGGGCGAAAAGTGAAGCATGAGGCCCTCGTCTTCCTAGCACCTGCTACTATTCAATCGCGAATGGGAGTTGGCCTCGATACCCCCTTGCTGGGGCGTTTCGCATGAACGTTTCTGAAATCTCGTTCCCGAGGGGAAGAGAAGAAAAGAACAGAAGAAAGCTTGACGAGACGAGAGCGAACTGTTTGGGCTTCTCGTGAGAGGCTGCCCAATCGTCATTAGGCATCGAGTCACCTGGTCCACGGGCTTTTGAGGCATGGGCAATGACACATGCCTCGCCTTCATCTGATCTCGTCGACCTTTCTTTCTCGTCTCGGTTGCTTCCAGAATGTTCAAGGGAAGAATCTCGACTACATGGTTGCTGGGGGAAGGGCAGAAAGCCTTTCAACTTTGTGTGCCGTCGCTGCCGTCGGTGGTTGTCGAAAATGCCATGAGGCTCAACTGGTGTTAAATCCTCGTCCCTGGCGCATATACACACCATCATCTTTCCTCGGTTCTCGGCGCCCGGAAGCTCGGTCGTAGTAAAGGTTGGCGAGTCACGAATGATTGAAGCGTGAAGGGTTCCCTCTTTTCTTTCCTGTGCCTTGTGAGCCCAGAGGCGAGGTTTCATGAGCCGCGGATCTTTACTTCCTCCATGGGTTTCGGGGAGGGATATCTCCCATGGCCCCCATGACATGAGGAAACGGAGTCGGGAGCGCCATCGGCCGAGGGAGGGTTCGCCTCGTTCGCCTTGCTCCGATGACGGCTTCCCCGGTTTCAAGGCTCAGCATGAGTGTGTGTGCGTGGCTGGTGCTCCTCGAAAATGTAGATCGCTGTCCATCTTCTTTTGTCCTTTTTGGGTGTCCTTTTCTGTGTCGATCATTGAGGGCATTGAAGGATGTTTCGTTTCAAAGGAGGCGGATGCTGTCGCCAAGTGGCACTGCCAAGCACCTAAGGTATCTCGTTCCTATGTCGGAGAATTTTGGTACATTTGTTACGTTCTTTATAGATTCGCCATCTTTTGATGGACATGGTATTTTGGCCAAAAGTCTATCCAAGTTACGTAGAGTAAAGATCCTCAGCAACGCGGTGATCATTGATCCCATTTGGACAGCGTCGGAACGTGGCGGTTACCGGGTGTGGTTTGATGGCCGTGATGGCATAAGTCGAAACGGTTTGTATGTGGAAGTGATTGACGGTACGATTTGCTTGGTGATCGACGGTCACGAGTGATGCAGCAGGACCATGTCAATCTTGTTGCCTTGCATGAGGCTAAGCGATGTATGCCAGCCACTGTCCATTGCGAGGGGATAGGAACGTGAAGAGGTCGACAGCCAAGTTCGATTATTGATGTTGATCCGGGACTTGTCGAGTCAGTTGCCTGCTTGGAGTATCATTTTCGTGTGGCATGTCGTGTATCGTCAGATATCGGTTTGTTACGTGGAGGTCGTATGTCATATTTTGCTGCTTACCTATGAGCGAGGCAGGTGAGTACAGAATCAAGCATGAGGTTGGACATGTGAGTCTGTGTAGGTAAGCTGACTGGCCGAGTGAAATGTGACGAGATGTGATTCACGTGTGGTTTGGTGGTTATGTTTTCCTCTGCTTACGTGTTGATGGGCATGCTGAGCGAAGACGTTCCATCGACTTTGATGCCAGGCTCAAGACCAAACGATATTGGCGAGTTACTCATTCCAAGTGGTCCATCGGCCAGAGCCCCTTTGCCAGAAGCTCTCTCCAACGTTGGCAGAGCACGCCGGAGTAGTTGCCCGCATGATATAAAGTAAATTCAGTCGTCTAGGAGTGGGAGGACGACAGCACTCCACGCGGAAACAACTACCATCTAGCTATACCCATGGCTATGAGACTTTCTAGATAGCTGACATAGAGGTTTGCATGCTGCTGACGGGGATTTGGTGAATGAGCATGAAGTTCTCCTGCCATGGAACAAGACGCCGTGAAGCAGGATTTGCTAATTATCTCAGTTCATGTACCGGATTTTTTTCCTTAGTTCGCTTCTTGTATCGTGCTAAAGATGACATGTAATTAGATGCAAAGTAGACGGCATTGCTTTCGAGACCGGTGGTGTTCGTTGCGTTGGAGAATCGACTTGGTGTAGCTCACATGGCCTTGCGAGTCGTCGAGGTACGGTCACAGACGAGAGACATCTGACTGGCCTGCAGCAAGGCCCTTGGAATCTCGAACCTGGCAACTCACTAGTAACTATCTCTTTTCCAGAAATAAGGCACTGTGACCGATGTATGCGTGATGAAGATCTTCAATTCTTCGACTGGATGAGACATCAGTCTTGTTGTTTGCGTGAGTTGTGAGAGATGTTGGCACTGCTCAACTTGAGGAAGCTGCTCTTGATGGTCCCGTGTCGAGGTCTTGGATTCGTTGTATATCTTTTTCGCAAAATATGCGAATACAACTTGCGACACATGATGAGGAGGAGTGGTGAACGATTACGTCTCATAAAGGGAAATACTTACACGATGGTTTTAGCGGACAGGCTGTGTATGGCAGCCATACACTACATCAGCAATGGCCGCAACTACCGCGTCACTTACTTCACAATACAAAAGCCTTGTGGAAGATTCTGAAGGACACTGAGAGCTAAACGAGCTTGGTATCTGGCAGAATCCTATGGAAATTGACTGCCAGTTCGATACCTCATGTAAGAACCCGCAGAAGCGATCTGAAACTATCTTGAGGTAACCTGAAGTAACATTTACCAGAAACCTAGTTGTATGGACCGCTAAGTTGGCCAAGTCTAGGTTAAACGCAGCCTTCGTGAAATACAAGATCAAACTAGACTGGCGTTTGTTGACAGGGAGAACACCATTACCTGGAGGCTATGTCATGATAGGATTGCGACAGATATAAAGGCTATCTGCGAGTTGGATCACCGCTACTATGACGACTAGACAATGTAGACGAGGAGCAGCTATATGACTGAGTAAGATGAAAATTCTTCGAGAAGTCACAATGGGAGGATGCTATACATATGTTTGTGCTGATCATGCCAGTGACGGATGACCTTCGCCAATACCTTTAAAGCCAATCATCACTAACTTCAACATCCAATTTTGTAAGACTCGTTTGGTTTCGATGCACGGTTTTCATTGGAAGAAGCTCCAGAGTAGTTGCAGGAACCCACTCATGGTGTCATCCAAATCAATGAGGTCAGATCAACCTGTCTCTGTCTGTCTATTCCTGTAAAAACGGCACCATCGATTTATGGCATAGAAGGCCACAGGCCAGAACTAGGTCTGGTCATCAGCGCCTCTTGTTTCCCAATTCATACTGACAGCATTTTAAGTTTCATTGATCTCGAGTATTGGCCATAATCATGCTGCAGAGTATGGTGCTCAGGGAGAATGTTGAATCACGGTCGTGAGGCAGGAGGGATGAGACCTTTTCTCACTATTGCGGCTGCCTGAAGACTACTGCCTGGACACCACTCGATATGCCACATTATATATGCCTCGAACTATTAAATGCCCCATGCTACTGTGATTGCATGGGAGCAAATGCTTCTTTCCAGCAGGGCTGGAGCAACTCGGCCGAGACAAAGATCCGAGAACAGGTAATAGGTTTGATATTGTGAGTCACTACTCGATTTTATGTACTTCCGTTGTTGCATTTGACATTATAGAATTGAAGTAGCGGCAGACCCGAATGCTATAAAGGAAGATATTCTCAATTTGGCAAAATAGATGAAGATGGCAAAAAGAGTTCAACCCCCCCCCCCCCCCGGTGCTGGACTGGGGGCTACACCTCTTAGTGCTCATGCTGGGATATTTTTGGTGCTCAGGCTGGCAACTGAACTCGACCTCGGAGCCTGTCGTCGAGTAGGCTGTGGGCGTTTCTGATTATTTGTTGACCGTAAACCATTTCACCTCCCAGCCAGTTTGACCTGACCCGTCGACCTAGACGGGCGTCTCCTTCCTGGTGGTAGGAATGGAATTGAGGGGACCTATATGGGCATCATTTGTGGTGTATTGTGTGGAAGGGTGGAATACACAGAGAGATGGGAAGTCTTTGTCCTGATTCATCGTGCCGAACGAACCTGGATGATGATCACCATATCACCGTACCTAGGTAGGAGGGCATTGGGTCAACGGTTATCTATCGGCACATGCAGCGCATCAATTTCATCATCAAGCTACGAATGCATTGAAGTACTCAGACGAGATCTCAGGGCAGCCTGGAAAATGCGATCAAGCGAGAATGAGAGCCAGAACGTTTCGGTGTAGTACCCCAGACGTGGGCGTTGCATGCTAGCGACAAAGTCCAGATTGCCAGCGTCTTATTGATTCGGATTCGGAATGGTCGCACGCAACGATTGATCGGATGAATTCATCCAGAAAACTTCTTGCGTTCTAAAGAAAACTAAAAAATCACATTGCTGGCTTACCACACGCTTATATACAGCTCGAAGCTACCTAGAACATAAATTTTGCTACAGGAGGAAGACACGATGTTGATGAAATATCATTAAACAGAGGCCTAAAACTCTTGAAAGAATTATGCCGTATAGAGGAATAAGATTGCGTCAATGCGTTTTCCTCTGTTCAAACAGGTTGACGGAGTGAATCGGGGCTGCTCCGTGCACTGCGGGTCATGTGCTTTACGGCGTGACCAAAGTTTCTCCCGCTAGCCGAATCGCGAATGGACTCAGCCGAAAGATTCCTGCCTGCGACCTCACCCGAGCTGCCTCCAGCAACACATCCCCATTGCCAGCTCAGCCCATCATGAACTCCTTCCGCTTCGCGCGCGCGGCCCTCCGAGCCCGTCCTGCTGCCTTCCGCGCTCCCCTCCAGCGCAGAACCTACGCAGATGCCGTCCCGGACAAGGCAAGCAGCCCGAGCCTGCATCCTCCGAGCCGGAGGCATCCCGAGTACCCGCTGACCATTTGCAGATCAAGCTGAGCTTGTCCCTTCCTCACCAGGTACGAAGTCGATAATATCCGAAACAATTGAACGAGAGACGAGACGACGATACGAGGGGGATGCAAGGCGGAAGCCAATTGAAGGATCAGAGCTAATTGCCGCAACACGCAGTCCATCTACCAGTCCCAGGATGTCGTCCAGGTCAACATCCCCGCCGACTCCGGCGAGATGGGTGTCCTTGCCAACCACGTTCCCGCCATTGAGCAGCTGAAGCCCGGTCTGGTCGAGGTTGTCGAGGAGAGCGGCCCCAGCAAGCAGTTCTTCCGTACGTTACGACCGAGATGGAGCTTTTCGAAGGGATAGGAGAAAGGCAGGAAACTGACGATGATTGTGCCTATAGTGTCCGGCGGCTTTGCCGTTGTCCAGCCCAACTCTGTTCTCAGCATCAACGCCACCGAGGGATACCCCATTGAGGACTTCAGCGCCGAGGCTGTCAAGTCCCAGCTTGCCGAGGCCCAGAAGGTCGCCAGCGGCAGTGGAAGCGAGTTGGAGATCGCCGAGGCGAAGATTGAGGTCGAGGTGAGTAATTTTCCAAACAAGGCCCTCGAGCGGTACAGTAGGGATGCTAATTATAATTCATAGGTTCTTGAGAGCCTCCAGGCTGCCCTGAAATAGAGAGTGTAAAAGAAGGTCGTGGCAGACACATGACGTTGTACATCAAGACCCGGATTCCCTTAACTTTATCTAACATCGCATAATTGAATCCACTTGCGACGTTTCTAGCGCTCTTTCTCTGTCAAAACCCATCATTGCGTGTGTGCCATGGATGCTACGTCATGTACCAGAAGGTCTTTCCACGGAGTGACTACATGGGTCGAGGTTGCCTACTGGGGACCAGGTCGGTCCTGTCTGCTATCCATTCGAGGAGGCCCCTGCCTGTCTTGCGTCTTTTGATCTCAAACTACTTATCCTGACCTCACTCGAGGCAAATTCTCTTCCCTAGGTAAATGTTCCGCATCGCCCGTCAAGGAGCATCGTTTCTCAACCCCCCACGGCCCATCCATTACAGTACCAATTTGCACTTCCCACGACATTATACAGTATTATTCAATCCTTACCCATTGTTTCTCAGTATGGAGGATCCCTTCGTTGATAATTTCTCCCCGCCCCGAGCCAACGTCTTCACAGCCGAGCCCGAAGACGGTGACATCCCAGAGGGTCTTGTATCCGCGCGACGACAGAAGTTCTCAAGCCGGCCTTCTACTCGTGTTACGAGCCGCAAGCCATCACCATTAGGTGCGAGGGAACGCGAGAGCACTTGGTCTGGTTAGGGCCAACGCACCAACAAGGTCTTCGCGAGACCAGCAACGCGCAACACTCAAACTGCAGAGTCCAGGGTGCCGTCTCAAGACCACTCATTCTTTGGACAGAGTCCAGAGCAAGCCTCCAGAAGCAACAGTCAAGCCCCCATACCTGCATTACGTCTGCGGAAGTCAATGTACCTCACTCCTCCACGAGTAGCCGACCCAGACTCTATGCAGCTTCGCCAAACCGCTTCGACCGGTCGGCTTCGAGCAAGACCGAGCAGAACGCTCAACCGGCCTCCAAAGATGCCAATGGCATCGATTTCTGCCTCATCAAGCCTGCAGAAGCCACGACACTTTTCCAACAACTCCGTTTCCTCCATTCACTCTTGCGGAACAGATATGACAACCTCGACCATTCGGAAACGCCATGCTCGGGATATCTTTGCAGAATTTGGCATCTCTCGTCCGTCGGGATGGCTCTCTGACGACGAAGAAGAGGACTTTTCGCGTCACCGAGATGGAACCAACAGCATTCCCAGGCATGTTCTCAACACATGCCATTCCTGCGGCGCAGAGGTAACTTCTCGCACATTCTGCTCTACGTGTGGCCATGCGGTATGCCCACAATGTGCCAGCGAAATACCGGACGATGGCTCGATCGACTTTGAGCATACTGAGAGTAGTCATCGGAATGCTGTAACCAGTCAACATCATATTTCGAAGGTAATAGAGGAGCACATTCGGTCATCCTCCAGCCTGGAAACTACAGAGAGATCGAAGAAGAATCAGAGGGCCCCAGCCACCTCGGTCAATCTCGATGAGAACCCCTTCATACTGGCCGACAGGATGACGAAGATCACCACGGCCGAACCTCAGATCACTGACATGACGGTTGGCGCGGGACAAGCATCAAGGCTCTCAGATTGTGTTCCTAGGCAAACGGACTTGAATACTGCAGAGACACACGGAGATTACGGGAATCCAAGGTGCAATGCCACCCATGCCGGGCATCACTCTGGTCGCCACAGTATTGCATGCATTGCCGAGCAGCAAAGTTCAGTAAGCATGGATGACTCGGAGCCGCTGCGACCACATCTCCCACTGGAGGATCCCGTCCAGAACAAGATTGACCAAATCTACCATCACGCTGAAGATCTCAGACGTGCACAGCACATCATGGAGCACCTGGCTACTGGTTCCGCTGGAATTTCAGCAAGCAAGCAGAACTCTCAACACACTACTCCCTTTGCACAGCAGATGCAGTTCCGAACCAAAGGTCTTGATACCAATCGCGAGAAGTTGATCAGTTTTGATGCGGCCATGGCCGAAAGCAACGAGCACGCCAGGGCCTAGGACGTCCATAGCCTCGAGAGGTCCCAGTCTTTTGACGTAGATCCAGTCAAGAAGAGAGGTTCAGATTCGCTGTCTGTTCTTGCCGGAGGACGACTCTCTCGTTCACCATCATGGCTGAAGAGTCCTACTCAGATGTCGAATCGCACGACGAGCAGACTGACGGCAATGGAGACCAAGAGTTCTCCCCAGATGAAGACGCCCAGCAGTCGAGATTCCACCGCAAAAACAATCAATCCGGCATCTGCAATTTCCTCCGAGAGTGCCAAGAGCAGCAGCTACCTGGTCCAAGGTCAATTTGAGCAGCTCAGTTCCCCAACAGGCGGAGCGTCTATCCAGTGGCCAAAGTTGAAGAAGATTCACAAAGAGACAAACCATGAAGTGCAAAAAGAGCCACTTCCGTGGCTGAAGAGACCGTTGCGTCGTGTGCATAAAGAGGAGAACATATCGCAGCAAGCTCAGGAACAAAAGGCTGCTGATGTTGAGTCATGGAGATCTCAGCTTCGAAAAGTTGCAGCCGCAGAAGCCGAGTCTGCTGAGGGACACGGCACACATCACGCCGATCGCAAGCGGGCAGACAGTTGCGTCTCGTGTGGCCACGACACACCATCACCGCGTGTTCCCGCCGACGGGCGAAACAGTACATCAAATGCTGTCAAAGCCTCTCTAGAGGAAATTGGCAGGACGGAGCAAGTCGCTCAGGAGGATCAGGCTTACGCAATGAGACATAAGCGCCTCGAAGAGATGAAGAAATCGATCTCTCAGAGATCGAGCTCAAGGATATCGACAACGACGAAGACTGAATCAAAGACTGTGAGCCAAGTCACACGAAATTTGGAGGCTACTCACTCTACTTCGGAAACGTTCGAAGTCGAAGACGCCAGCGCCAACGGCAGCGTGGAGCTGGTGGAGCGATTGTCTCGATCTCTTGATGACGAAGTCGAGGTATTCAGTCCGCTACCAATCATGCCACCGAACCATACATGCTCTTGGAAGGAGAGATATCTGAATTTGACAGCGGAGGTGCGGGAGTTGAAGGCGGAAATCGTTTCTCGAGAACGACGCGACACGCCTGGGCACGCGGACGTGGGTGTCAACGTCAGCCAGGATGATGATTACGAATTGGGAGTCGAAGGGCTCACCATTGTCATGCATCTCAGAGGCAAAGACGATTTGATCATCAACACTGACTTGACGCATGCCTCTTCCGGACTTTGAAACAAGGGTGTGTAGAAAGACTAGGATTGCTATTTGTACGTAGCGGATGGGCAGGGCACGGGATTATGATAGAAGCATGGATTAAACGATGCGAAAACACCAATAAATTGCTTTCATTTCTATATCGTCAACCGCGGTTTTGTATCAGGAGACGTCGCCGGAATCCATTCTTCCTCGACCACCGTTGATATTCGCTGTCTATTCTTGTTCCATTATCTTCTAATGATTTTCCCTTCCCTCCCGTTTGAATATTAAATTGGTAGCGTCATGAAGCTAGCAAGCAGTTGTCTGCAGGCCGGCCGTTTTACCGTCGCTGATTCGGACTAGCGACGCCGAGGGACGGTTGTACGGGAATGAGGTAAGCACGGTACGGTACGGCAAGAAGAGTGGAGACCTCCAAAAGCTAAAAGAGACACTGAGGGGGGAAAAGAAGCCTCAAACCGACCGGCGGAGGGTAAAAAGGTCCAATTTGGGGAAGGACAGATATTCCATTTGCCGTTTCCCCGTGTCAGAATCAGAAGGAACCCAGAAGCACTTAGCGCTGGAGTAGTCGCACGAGTGGGAGGCGGAAGGAGAAGGCGGACAAGGTTTGTAAGGTTGGAGCAAGCTGTGGGGCTCTTCCAGGGCGCGCACTGACAGCCGGACGTTGAGGTGATTTGGCCTAATAGATTGGACTTTGCCTGCCATTCACACAGCGCACGCAGCCAGCGAAGACAGGACACAGTGACCTCCCCCAGTGTGTTCTTGTTCTACCTTACCTTACCTAAGGTTAGGTGGTGCCGTGAGTAACTCCAGGGCGCTAAGTACCTTTGTCACTAATGGAAGGTACCCACTAGTTAACCCCTGCTCGCTCTTCCGGAAACTACCACCGTAGAAGCAGCCACCAGCGCAGGCACAAGCACCAGTTTATTTCGAGGCCACGATTGTCAAAAGAAAGTGACTTGGTCAAAGCCAGCAGATTGCGGCCACTTCATACCCCAAACCAAGTCCCCGACCTCGACCTGGAAGAAACAACCAGCGGACGGAGGCAGACACCATTCCTTGACGGTCTCTGAATTGTTCTTCTTTTTCCCCTTTCATATCCCTTCTTGGTCTCGTCTACACTTCTTCAAGTGTACCCGCGCACGACACACTCCCGCTCTTTTAAGACCTTTTTTTTAACTGGGCTGCATAGCTGTCCAGCGACGTGTCCGGATCCGCGCGCAAGACTCCCACTCGGATTTGGATCTCGACTTCACGACTGACCACCTCTCCAACACATACCATACACAGCAACCCGACACCAACACTCTAGAGCTCCAGAGCTCGTCGCTGCGCCCGTCAAGATGAGTTCCGACTACTCGTACGACGCCGAGGCGCAATTCTACCCCTTCTTCATCCTCGCCATCACCAGCATCATCACCTTGCCGCTCGGCTACACCCTCGTCTTCCCCTCCAAGGACATTGAAGCAAAGGCCCCGCGCATCCAGAGCGACTTTAAGCCCGAGCATGTCGACCTCATCGACAAGCAGCGCAAAGCGCACGAGAAGAAGCAGCGCCGCATCGTGCGCGTCATTGCCGTCCTCATCGGCCTCGCCGTCATGGCCGGCATGATCTACCTCATTATCCACACACAGAGCGTCACACAAAAGATCTGGAACCCATATGATATTCTCGGCATCTCTGACGTATGTTGACCACTTCACCTCACCGGCTGCCCGTCTCTTTCCCCCTCCATACCCCATCCACATAGTGCTGACACGCTGTTGCGTCTAGTCTGCCGACGAGAAGACAATTAAGAAGGTCTACAAACAGCTTTCAAGAAGACTGCACCCCGACAAGGTTAAGCCCGACCCGGCCAAGAACGAGACCATCGAGTCCCTCAACAACGCCTACGTCGAGATTTCAAAGGCCTACCAAGCGCTCACCGACGAGGAGATCCGCAACAACTACATCCAGTATGGCCACCCCGACGGAAAGCAGAGCTTCAGCATCGGTATTGCACTCCCCCAGTTCATCATCTCGGACGGCAACGGCAAGTTCGTTGTCCTCGCCTACACACTCCTCCTCGGTGTTCTCCTGCCTTACCTGGTTGGCTCCTGGTGGTACGGAACTCAGCGCATGTCCAAGGATGGCGTGCTTCTTGAGAGCGCCAACAACCTATTCCGCGCATATGACGAGAACGTTGACGAGGGTGGCGTTGTTACTGCCCTCAGCAGTGGCAAGGAGTTCGATACTGTTCTGAAGGGCGACAAGGCCGAGTCTGGCCTCTCCAAGCTCGAGTCCAAGCTCCAGGCCAACGCCGAACAGGCTGGTGTCTCCCAAAAGGACAAGCAAGCTCTCGAGGACCTCGACAGCGGGGTGCGCCGCAAGGCTTTGGCTCTCCTGAGATCTTACCTCGGCCGTGTCGAGCTCGAGGACGCCGCCCTCGACAGCGCAAAGTACGAAGTTGCTCCCATCGCCCACGCCCTCACCCGATCCTTCTCTGCCATCGCCCAAGCGTACGGTAACACTGGTCCCATTCTGGCCGCATACTCTACCAGCCAGCACCTTATCCAGGCTCTCCCGCCCAAGGCCTCTCCTCTCCTTCAGCTTCCTCACTTCACCCAGGACATCGTTCGTCAGGTCGAGGGAGGCGACTCCAAGGTTCACATTTCCCTCCAGCAGTTCATGGATCTGCCCGATGAGCTTCGCAGAAACCTGGTGGTCCGCAACAACCTCCTTACTGAGGCCCAGTACAAGTCTGCCGTTAATGTCGCTCAACAACTGCCCCAGCTCCGCGTTGCCAAGGCCTTCTTCAAGGTTACCGGCGAGCGATTCATCATCCCCTCCTCTCTCGTTACCCTCGTTGTCAAGGGCCGCATTATCCCGCCTGGCAGCGAAAATGTGCCCGAGGTCAACGAGCTGGACCTGGAAGACATTGACCCCGCCGAAGACGACCTTGAGGCCTATCTTGGCCGCAAGAAGAAGACTATCAAGGGTCCCGACGGCAAGCCTATCCCTGTTGACGACAAGCCTATCCTGCCTCCTCTCGCCCACGCTCCTTACTTCGCCCGCGATCACGCCCCCAAGTGGTACGTTTTCTTGACCGACTCTAAGCAGGGCAAGATGGCTGTTCCCCCCTTCACCTTCACCCAGTTCGACCAGCCCATCTTTGGCGACGACGGCAAGCCCACCTTCAACATGCAAACCCTCAAGGCTCAATTCGCCGCTCCTCCCCAGGCTGGTCACTACACATTCGTTATGCACGTCGTATGCGACAGCTACGTTGGCTTCGATACAAAGATGGAGGTTACGCTTGTTGTCGAGGAGGCAAACAAGGCGGCAGCAATGGTTGCCGAGGATGATATCAGTGAGCCCGATGAAGGTTAGTACTCCCTCCTCTCCCCCAAGCCGTCCTACACACTAACAGCAATCAACAGACTCGATAGCCGGTCAGATGCAGGCTCTCAAGGGCGGCAGCGTACCGGGCGCCACCAAGCCCCGCAGGAAAGATGACGATGACTCGGACGAGGAGAGTGGTACGGACGACGATGTCCAGGACGACACGAGCGAGACGAATACCGATACAGAGGATGAGTCATGAAGCAACGAGGCCTTTTGAGCCTGAGCGGGTTGGTTGGCGGGGTAGAGGAGAGCTTGATGTGTACGAAGCGATAGAAGAAGAACGTTAGTTGCACAAAAGAAACAAAAAAGTGTAAAAAAAAAAGACTCTCAAAATATACCCAAAGTCAGAACATCAAATACACAGGCACACTTCAGGTAGGAGCGGGGGGGGGGGGGGGTTGCTGAGCGGATTGTGGACCAGAGGGTCGTGTTTGGTCTTCGTACATAACTGTAGTCGGCGTTGAGTTTTTGGCTTCTTCTTCTAGTGTTCACTTGGAATCAAACACTTCCGTTTGGTCTCCTTCATCTTCATCGTTTCGTCCGTCCATGACAATCGCTCTTCGTGACCGCTGTAGTGAGACAGATCGACGGGGTGCGCCCACGAGTTAAAGAATGAAACTCTGCAAACACGATGGAAGCCATAAAACTGTGACATGCTTTGAAAGATGTGACATTCGTCCACGATACCAAGATGGTCCTGGTGCATTGGTCACTTGCTACTGCTGCTGCCCGAATGGTCTCGCCGTACATGGTCAAACAGTCAGCCAACCCAAAACCTCCTTTCTTTTTGTAATTAAGAGAAAACGCCCTTCGCCATTTCCTTTCCCCTTCTCCTTTGCAAATGCGACAACAATTCATGTACACTTCTCTCCCATCTCCCAAACCTCCCCAAGCATCCGGGTATCTGGTATAAAATCGCATCAAACCCGCCGCCGCCGCCCCCTTCCTCGGTTATGAAACTCCATTCGCGCCTTCCTCCAACTGAACCCGCTTCAACTGCACTTCGCAAAGAGGCTTACTCACTAAGAGCCTGGAGCGCGTGGGTGAGGGGAACGACGCGCAGAGATCGTCCGCGCTTCAGGCCGGACGCCGCCTTTTGGGGCATAATGGTCGGGCTAGACTCGTCTCGCCACTTGCGGAACACGCTCTTCAGGTCTTTGGGAATGCCTTCCAACACGACTGTCGATATGGGGATAAAGGGCCGATCTTCCATGCCACTAGCCAGAATGGCATACTCTTGCGCAAAGTCAAGAGCGTTGCGGAAGGAGCTGTACTCGCTCTGCGCCGTCCTACCGACGATAATGTACATTTCAAAGAATGCATCCAGAACGTAGATGGAGGAAGGGTCCAGGTCAGCCTGAGTGAACGGGCTGATTTCAGTGACCTGTGGTTATCATGGTTAGCGCTGAGCTGGAGAATAGGAACAACGTCGAGCTTACCTGCTTCGCCGCAGACGCGTCCGAGCGGAAGAGTCTTTGGCAGTACTTGTCGTAGTTGGACTTCAAACGCCAGTGGTCTGCAGAGAGCGGCTTCGTGCCGTCGTTGAAGATGGCCCAGAAGCTATCCGGCTCGCTGCCGTCCTCGATTTCTATGAGCTCGCCCATCAAGCTCAAGTCCATACCAATGAGGCGGGC